AACAATAATTTCAAAAATAAATAAAGGCAAACAATTATAAGTATTGATATCAGTATTGATATAAGTATTGATATCAGTAAATGTATTATTATTGATATCAGTAATGATATAAAATCTATATTCTGAGATAATTTTTAGAGTTTATATAAAACAATAAAAACGCTACAACATGGAATTTCAGAACTTTATATTCTATTGGGAACTTTATCTGATATTTTAAAATGTCCATATGCATAACTTGTTATTCCATCATCATGTATATATCTTTTATCATCAAAACAGCTGAGTGATACTTTATTGATTTCATAACTTCCAAGTTGATGGTTTTCACTTCTGATAGTTTTCATTTTATGATGCATCTGTTTATTATTGAAGAGTGTATCTCTATAGTTTTCATGTGTTATGTTATTCTTAATAACATTCTTCTTGATTCCTTTAGCAGTTTTACCTCCTTTTTCATTATCTTTTATATAACTATACATTTTTGATCTTAAACCAACAAATTCACAAATAGGAACTCCAGCAGCTTCATCTTTAAATTTTCCAATTACTTTCTTATTTGTCTTATCAAAATAAGGTGAGCCTTCAGGGTAGTCACTGTTGTCAAATTTATCTTTATCAATCCAAAAATCTCTATAAACATCATTAGCTTCAATTTCATAAGTTAGAGAGTCTGTATCAGTGAATAATAACATAGCTTTTTCTCCATAATTCTTTTTAATATATTTATAATGAAAATCATACATTAAAGTCTTGCTTAGATCTAAGATGGACATACCCACATATGCCGGCCTGTTTAGAGTAATTGTTTCTTTGATCTTATGAACAGCAACTAGATTTTCATTAAATATCTTACAACTAACATAAGTTGGTTTACTGGTTAGCTTCAACAGTTTTTTCTCATCAGTTACAAGTCTAACATCAACTCGCTTTCTGATGTTTTCCATAGTTTTACCAAATACACTGTTATTCATTAACTTGAAGAACTCTTTTTCAAAAGCATTTTTAGCATTCTTTCTCTTTTCAGTATTGAAAGCAATATATTGTTTAAGCCAAGGAGATTGATTAAACTCAAGTACTCGATGAACTTTACTAACTTTCAAACCGAGATCAATATATAATTGCAAGTTTCTATAATGTAAAACATACTTTTCTTTATTGCTAAGTGTTGGTATTAGTTTGTATACAAGACCAGTTGATATATTATATTTATCAGCTATTCTTTTACTATAATTTGATAACATACTATCAGTAACTTTAACCTTTTCTGGAGCAAGAGGATAGTCATTATGAAAATTATGTAAATCTTGTGGATATTTAAGATCTACTTCAAGTATCAAACCATTTTTACTATCTTCTTTATATTTAGCTAGATCTATATTATCTATTTGTTTTTGTGTCATCCATTTGAATCCACCAGTTGGTAGATATTGGCTCATTGCCCATCCATAAAGATTATTAGCATCTAAATACATAATATATTTAGATGGTTTATTTTCATAATATTCTTTCATATATTTATTATTTGCTTTACTATAACGATTTGCAATATAACTTATTCCACCGCGTAATCCTTTTTCGATAAACTGAAACATATCAATATCAGTCATAAGTTCTAATTTTATATTTGTCATCTTCAACATAGCATCCCAAGACAAACCGGGAGATGTGAAATAATGACATGGATCAAGTTTATAGTATTCAAGACAAGTATTTCTAAAGTCTTCAAATGCATCAGCTAATAGAAGAATGTCAGACTTGTGATATAAGTTGTGATAATCACCCATATTTTTAAGAGAGAATTTATTCCAAACATTTTGAGCATGTTCATAATCTTCATTTGATATATGTTGATCATTTAATATGCTGTAAAAATCTTCTTTAGATGGCAGCTTGTGATTGAATTTTTCAAATGAGTCCATATAATCATAAGGATATACTCCTTTTCTTACCATCAAATCAAGTTTCTCACCTTTAAAACTTTTGCTTGTATACTTTAATGATTCTTTTGGTAAATTACTCACAAGTTTTTCTAAACTTGAACTCATAAACTGGAAACTATCAATAAATGTTAAGTGATTACCTAACATGAATGCCATATATTTTTCCATATTATTTGGAATTGCATTTATATTCATCTGTTTCTCTTCTCCTTTTTTATTTTTATATGTATGGTTCTTAACAATGGCTCCAATCTCTTGCATTATAAAATGACTATCATACCCTCTCAAATTATGAAATATAACGGGTATTTTAACTTCTTCAGGGTTTAATCTAAGTTGCAGATTGCATTCTTGATGTGCTGATCCTCTATATTTACCTGTGATGTGGCAATGGTCTCTGACTTTAATATCTTTATCAGTATATTTCTTGTTGCAAATATAACATTCACTAGCTTTTAGAAATTTCTCTTCATCTTCCTTTGTCATTATCAATGGTTTATTGAATTCTTTTTTCATAACTTTCTTGCAATATTTAACTTCATCTAAAAGGTATTCCATGAATGTATAAACAGCTTTTTCACCTCTATATATTTTCAGGGGTTGACTATATTTATCATCATAACAACAGACAACCTTATAACCAAAACCACAATCAGTATGTTTTTGATATGCATTTGTATATGATTTATCATCATTAGGTTGACAACCCGATATCTTTTCTGTTATAGCCTCAAAGTCTGCATAGATCACAAATGGCACAGGCTGTTGTTTATGAAAGTTGTTGAATTTTAATATGTTTTTATCTTTATCAGGCATTTTTACTGCTTGAGTTCCATTTACTTGAATACAATAGACACTTTCAGAGCTAAAACACTGAAGGCAATGCATGCAGAAGTGTTTTCTATGCTCATGCTTGGTTTTGTTGTACATAAATCTATTAAAATCTTTTATTAGCACATAATGTTTATTTTCCTTTTCAGTTATTAGTAATAATTCCATATGATTTTTATATTTTTCTTTTGACACATAAATGGGATATGGTTGTTTGTTTTCATATCCAAATACATTAATGTTAATCTCATTTTGCTTTTCAATTTTATTGTACTGATTGATTTTTATAGGAAATTCAATTCCAGAGTAATCTAATTTTTCTAAATAATGTTTATCAGATCTTTTAATTAGTTCTGAATGTGAATCTTGAGGATTTAAAAATCGGATATGACACCATCTGAAACATTCATTGTCATTATTTTTAATATTAATCAATCCTTTCATACTATTTCTTAATCTATTGGTAGTTCAATATATGAAGATCCTTTTAATGGTTGATATTGTACAATATTCAAGAAATGATTATCAACTGATTGAATAGTCCATCCAGAACCTTCAGATATCCATTTTGCTATAATGTTTAAGATATGATCTTTTGATAATTTTAAAGCTTCAACCACCATCCCATTGTTGGTTATCTCCTGTGCTTTACTGTTGAAGAATGCAGTTTTGAACTCAATTTGATTGTCTTTAGGCTTTCTGAAAGTAACTCTTAGTGTTTCAATGAATTTTAATCCTTTCTTTGATGTTAAATGTTTTATGATATGCTTCTCAATTGCTTTTCTAGTCTTTTGTAGTTGTAATAATGGATCTTTGTTGTTTATAACGCTTATTTTAAAAGATTCTACATTTCCCTTAAGAGCTTTAGCCAATTGCTCTATCTTAGTTTTTTGTTGTTTCATTATTTTAACATGCTCTCTTTTTAATTTATCTCCCATCTCTTTTAATGTTTATTCCCAAATTTTATTTTTCATTGTATCTGTTTCAGCTTTAGTCATAAGTTTTATGCTTTTGAATAGTATAACATCACCAATTCCTTTATCTCTGGTTGTCTTTTTAACTAAATCCATCCAGGTGTAATTTAATTGTTTGGCGTTTTTGTAGTAGCTTGTTGAGAGATCTTTAAGAAAGTTCATGTAATCTTATCTATATAATAAGATTATATAAATATTTTCTTATGTATTAATTGAGGTGCGTTTAAAATTGTCATCTTCAATTGCTTCCATATTTTTTTTATGTTTTTTAGTATTTAAATGTCTCCATTTTCCAACCATTTTGTAATCATGATTGTCACATACAGGACATCGCCACTCTTTATTTAAAATATGTTTGTTTTTGCTTTGTTGAATTGCTTTTTTTCTGTCTTCTTCTGTAAAATATTTTAATGGTCTTCCAGCCATTGTATATTATTACTATATATTATTATTTTTATAAGTCAATTTATAATGCGGTTAAATCTTTCATTGGAATCCAGCTATTAAAATCATCACTATATCCCCTCCACTTCACCAAAGCTTGTTTTTTCTTATAATCTCTGCGAATAACTTTATCAATACGGAAAACATCCTGTTTGGCTTTTAATAATTCCGGTTCATAAAAACTCCCCTGTATGTCTTCATCATTGAGATCTTTTAATTTGTGTGTTATTGGATTAGTGTATTGGATCTTATCAACTGTGAACACTTCTTCAGTCCAATTTGGTGTATAACCCTTATCGAAAACATTTCTTTTATACTTGGATATTCGAACCTTATCACCTATTTTGAATTTTGGTTTCTGTTTTGATGTTTCCATATCACCATATAGATTAAAGTAAACAGTTCCTTCATTCTTCTTATTAGATGCTTCAACGGGTGTCATCTTTATGCTTGAATGTTTTGTGTTATTGTACTGTTTTACTAGTTTGGGGAGCATATCGAGATACATTGTATTACCTTGAACAGTGAATTGTTTCCACATTTTGGATTTAATGGTCCTATTCCATCTTTCAACTACAGATGACTTCTCTTCATTCTCAGTTGAGTACATGTGTATCCCATTTTTATCTAATAAGTCTTTCAGATGTTTGTTATAGAACTCTTTTCCCTTATCAACCCATAGATATTGTGGTTTTCTGCCTTCCTTGAATATTGTTTTGAAGGCTTCAGTGACAGATTCACCTTTCTTATCTTTTAATGGAACGATCCAACCGTATTTGCTGAAAACATCAATAACCATTAGAAGATATCGGTAACCCTTATTCCATTTACTAAACTGTTGCATTTCAACTAGATCACTTGCCCATATTTCATCGATATGATTTGTGATTACACGCCGCCGAGTGAAGTTGCGTTTTATGGGTGTATGTAACTCATCAGCTAATTTTACTTGCCAATTTTCTTCACTCGACGGCTTTTCCCGTTTTTTGACTTTTTAACACCCATACCCAACTTTGGCTCAGATGCTATAGCGCATTCTAAACAACAACTTTTACCTTTTTTTGGCTTCTTAGATCCCATACCCAATTTAGATTTCGTTGCTATAGCATTGCGAGCAACAGCATGTCCCCATTGTCTGTCTTTCCAAGGTATTGCATCAAGAGCTTTGACCATCTTACGATCTGCATCATTCTTGCATTTAACTTGGTTACTTTTTGACTTATTAGCACATACTGAGTAATCAACATCATGTTGCATACTTACAGCATCAGTCTTACCAGTTGGTTGTTGATATATCTCAAGTATTTGACCAGTATTTGGATCATAGCTTAGCTGTTGTTCTAATGGATTCCCTGGACCCGTGTAATTATGCCCAGGCATCACAAAACCTTTTTTAGGTGCTACTTTTAATATAGCTTTATGTATATCAATACCTTTACCACTGACTGGATTAAGTTTATTAGACAAATCTGATGTAAAACGATCCAAAGCTTGATCTAAATATTGGTTTGCAATACTTTTTATTTTTTGTTTTGCATAATTTGATTTAACAGCTTCCGATGCGCCTTTTCTACCAAGATTGAATAAACCTTTAGTTGCACCTCTAAGCAACTCTGCTGCAAATTCGCCCCCAGCTTGTGAGGGCACCGTTAGTTTCCCCGGTTCTTGACGAATTTGGCTTTTATTATCCCACAGCTGGCACATTGGCACTTCATCATGGTTCGACCATTTTTAGTTTTGACATATTGTTCACTACCTGGTACACATTCAGTTTGTTTTTTTTCTTCAACGCAATATGATTTTACCATCATATATATAAGTTACATATTTTTAGTTTTTAAATTTTATTTTTTAGATGAATTATTTTTTAGATTTAGCTATAATTTAAATTATGTTAGCTGGAGGTCTTCCTCTTTTTTTAGCTTTAGTATTGTTAACTGCAGGTTTTTTGGCTTCTTGTTCAGCTTTCTTAGATTCTTGTTTTGCTTTATTAGCATCTTTTACAGCTACATTAGCTTCTTTTATCTTTTTATTAGCATCAGCTACCTTCTTCTTAGCTTCCTGACGTTTAATCTTAGCCTTTTCATTTGCTAACCTTCTTTTCTCAGCAAGGACTTCATCGATTACATCTTCAACTGAATTTATCCTATAATATCTACCTTGACCTGATTTAATACAATATTCAGCAGTTCCACGTACTCTATTTTTAGGAACTTTATGTCATGAGAAGACACACAGGGCTTGCACTGTAAGTATCCCGGAGAGCTCCATACAATTCCTTATAATAAAATTATAAGGAATTGTATGGAGCTTTTTTAGCGTTAGTCGAGGCGTGGAGGGTGTTGTCACGTACGATCCTTGCGAGGTGTTTTTCCCGACACTCTTCTGACAGAAGAATGTCGCGTAATGAAAGCAAACCAGAAATGATTGAAGAGCAACTCGGGCTTTCACATATCATCAAGTTCATTAAAACGAGCATTGAATTTCCTGCACATCAACAAGCCTTTGTTTTATACTTTTACACCGATCACGAGCTCATTTGTGTTTCGGAAATAGATCAATTAGCTACATAATGATGACGGAATTTGTGAAGGAATTTGAAGATGAAGAAGAACGAAAAGAGCGAGCTATTAAATCACGAAAAAACACTCCAGAAGAAAGAAACAGACAGAGAAAAGAATGGAGAAAGAGGAAACAAGGGAAGCATATGCCGAATGCAACGAATAAAAATGTTGAACTACAATCACTCAACCGCGAAGCGAATGAGTTGGTGCCTTGTACTTCTGAGGCTAAGGAAACGAAACTGCCTCCTTCAGACCAACATTTTGAGCCACAAAATGTCAAGAAACCCCATATCCTCGCGCTTAAACCAGGCAGTGAAGAGATGAAAGAGGCCTTGGGTGGTTGTTCAAGAGCTGCTAAGATGATTCAAATGGCTGTTGGTGCCGACGCAGTTGTCTCGCAGAAACCTCGTGGGAAACGTCATCAAACCTTTTTAATTGGAAAAAAAACCACAGCGAGCAATGGATCCAGATTTGAACCCAAAGAACTCAGGCCAGAAAACATTGAATACTTGTCTAAAAATCCAGTTGGGAGTGGAAGCTTTGGACAGTGTTTTCTCGGGCGCTATCGAGGCTTCGACGTTATTGTCAAGCAAATGACTCACAACGAAACGTCAGAGGATGAAGAACGAGCAAGGAGAGATTTGCTCCACGAAGCAAAGGTCGTTTCTGCTTTGGGGGACCATCCACATCTACCCATGATTTTTGGTGTTGTTACAAAGGCCTCACCATTATGCCTTGTGACTCAATTTCATGGTGTTCAGCATGAAAGTGTAACTCTCCATCAAGCGGCCGATAACAACGCAGTTACTAAAGCAAACTGTATTTCTATATTTAAAAAGATATGCAGTGTTTTAGACCACGTGCACTCTAAAGGATACCTTCATAACGACATCAAAGGAAACAATGTTGTACTAGAAGGGCGACCCTAAAAGCCGGAACGGCGGAATGGCGGAAAATGACCCCAAATCCTAAAACACGGAACGGCGGAAAATGACCCCAAATCCTAAAACACGGAACGGCGGAAAATGACCCCAAATCCTAAAACACGGAACGGCGGAAAATGACCCCAAATCCTAAAACACAGAACGGCGAAAAATGACCTCAGATCCTAAAACATCGAACGGCGGAAAATGACCCCAAATCCTAAACACGGAACGGATGTCAGGGCATGTTGCACAAATTTTGTACAAAGACACCAAGCGCTTGGCTCATTTATCCCCACGACGATAACGCACGTGACTAAAATTAAGTGTTATTAATTTTTTTCTTTTACTGAGTGGTATAAATAATAATGAACCAATATGCATGAAAGATAGCTGCGTTTTCGCGTTGTAAACCTGTTTAGTTACCTTTTGTTAAGCAAAATTTGCCATGAAACCAAACTCGACATACCACATTTCAATAAACAATTGTAACTTTGATACGTTTCCTGGTCACGTCTGTATTGATTTATTGAAACAATAATATCTCATATGCTTGTAAATGTGAAAACATCACAGGAACGTTTTCAGGCTTCTCAAAATATGACAACGTTCAGCCCCAGCTCCAAACTTAGACTAGCGTGAGAGCAAGCCCTCGTTACGAGCCCTTCAATACGAGCGTTTTTTCATCCACGAATAAGTTTTGGGACTTGAGTAACACTAGTTGAAGAGAGGTTTGTTTATTGTAGTGTGGTATGTCGAGTTGGTTTCCACATGCTGTGCGACTTTTTATGCCGCGACAAACTCATGGCAAATTTTGCATAACAAAAGGTAGCTAAACAGGTTTACAACGCGAAAACGCAGCTATCTTTCATGCATAATGGTTCATTATTATTTATACCACTCAGTAAAAGAAAAAAAATTAGTAACACTTAATTTTAGTCACGCGCGTTATCGTCGTGAGGATAAATGAGCTAAGCGCTTGGTGTCTTTGTACGAAATTTGTGCAACATGCCCTGGCATCCGTTCCGTGTTTTAGGATTTGGGGTCATTTTCCGCCGTTCCGTGCTTTAGGATTTGGGGTCATTTTCCGCCGTTCCGTGCTTTAGGATTTGGGGTCATTTTCCGCCGTTCCGTGCTTTAGGATTTGGGGTCATTTTCCGCCGTTCCGTGCTTTAGGATTTGGGGTCATTTTCCGCCGTTCCGTGCTTTAGGATTTGGGGTCACTTTCCGCCGTTCCGTGCTTTAGGATTTGGGGTCATTTTCCGCCATTCCGCCATTCCGCCATTCCGCCATTCCGCCATTCCGCCATTCCGCCATTCCGCCGTTCCGGCTTTTAGGGTCGCCCGTACTAGAACGGCCCTCAGCCTCTGGGGAATTCAGCCCAGTTCTTATTGACTTTGGAAAGAGCCTTAAGGTTTCATCTGTTACGTTGTACCGCAGAAACGGCACCGTTATGAAATGCAAAGGGAAAAGCTATTTAGCCCCTGAGGTTGTTAGTGAACGACTCTATGGCGTTGCCAGTGACATTTTTTCATTGGGAAGAATGCTTAAGGCGATATCGTCTTTGTTGGGTTTTTATGAAAGGATCCGAGAATTGGTTAAAATGTCAACCAGAGATAAGCCGTCAGAGAGACCTAGCCTTTATGCTTTCTCTCGTAAGATTGCTGATGTTAAATTTTAGGTGTAGTATTTTCCAAGTCAGCAGACCTAATATCAGATAGAATCGCATCATTGCATAAAATCTCGCCTTCTGATTGGTTGACGAGGCGAGTTGTTTAGCGGGGCTAAGTGATATTGTTTCGCATCCACGTATACATAACAAATATAAGTAATGCTGTTTTCTTTTTATCTTGTTTTTATTCAAATATGTGATTCAAGGAAAATCCATTACTTGGCTCGTGAATTCCGCGTTAAATTGCACTTAAAAACTGATATCGCACTCATCGCTTCGCGTATCGCTTTTCGCGTGCAATTAAATGCGGAATTCCTTCGTCAAGTAATGAATCTTCCTACAATAGTTTCATTCAAGGTTTAGTTACTACAATTTCAGCGATTTTAAAATGAAGGACAACTTCTTCCCCATGATTCTACCGCAAGAAATAGTTTATGACCCAGCTTACGTGAATAAGAACCTATTGACAACAGGATAATTGTAAATCATTTTTTATCAGTTTATTACCCTTAACGTGTGAACTACATCCGATTTTGAGGGGACAAAACGGCTTTCTAATGACTGCTGGAAGGGAGAAAATATCTTTCTTAATTGGGTGTAATTCCGTGGCACATTCAGTTTCTTGGCGATCGCTGCCAAAAAGCTGTAATGTCGTCTCAAAATCGGAGCAATTTTGTCCGTTTATGGACAAAATTAGGCATAACAGTGCTGGTCAAAAATAAAATATTTCGTACCAAAAAGTATCATAGTAACATCTTTGTGTAATTGTTTTATTCCGCCACGTTATTGAAAGAAGGACATTTTCTGTCTTTTAAAAATTGCTCATTTAAATAAATATAACGCAAGAGGAGTAGCGGTACAAAAATAGTCAAGGTGCAATCGAATCGAAAAAAGCAGATCTAACGCAAGAAAAACAATAGTGAATAGTGAATAGTGACTTTTTGCGTGACTTGCACAACTTCTTGAAAAAGACATGTAGCTCATCCAACTTGCCTTGCCACTGAACAAGGCGAGGCTCCATGTCAGCTTTAATATCTGCAAAATAGCCAAAACCTGAAATAAGACCTGAGAAAGACTGTAATGAGAGGCCCTATATGTTATCACATCATTCAAATAACTGTTGCAAGTAAACATTTTGTTTTCCTTGGGTAAATATTTTTGAGGAATTAAAAACAAAAAGCTCCTTTTGATGTGGCTAAATATCATTTAGGCAAAGTTAAACTGGAGCAAAGCTGGTCAGTGGGTTCACACTAACCTTTAAGGTACCAGCTCCTAAGCTCATCATTAGCAATAAGTTTAATTATTTTAATATTTTCCAAACTCATTTTCCAAAATTTTTATATTTCAGCATAAAACACTCAATAAAGTCATATTATAGTATGGTAAACCTTCTTTAGCCAGTGAGAAAAAATCAGAACTTGTAACCAAAGAAAAAACAAAATGTTATTACTACTGTTGTTCTACAAACCTGAGCCTTCCAAATCAATTATCTCAGTATGTGTACCAAAATCTCTTACAAAAGTGCCCTTGCTTAAAGCTTCTGAAAAGTACTAAACATTTGGAAAAGTGCATTAATTACATAACATTGTGCTACCATACTACTTGAAGAAATGTTCCCTCACACCAATTTCATTGTCTTAAAGAGAATGTCTGCATGTCTTTATGCTACTTAAAGGACAGCACTTTCTTGAAAAAACTGAACTGGGTTACAGTCACTCAGTAGCAACACTAGGTTACACTGCACCCATGGATGTGCCACCTAAAGTGCAGCCTATGTTAATTACCTTTAATTAAATAAGACACTGGGTTACACAGCACCCATGGGTGTGCCACCTAAAGTGCAGCCAAAGGAAGTTACCTTTACTAAATACAACACTGGGCTACACTGCACCCATGGGTATGCCACCTAACGTGCAGCCTATGTTAATTACCTTTAACTAAATAAAACATTAGGTTATACTGCACCCATGGGTGCGCCACCCAAAGTGCAGCCTATGTTAGTTACCGTTTACTAAAGAAAACACTGGGTTACACTGCACCTATGGGTGTGCCACCTAAAGTACAGCCTATGTTAATTACCTTTAACTAAATAAAACACTAGGTTACACTGCACCCCTGGATGTGCCACCTAAAGTGCAGCCTATGTTAGTTACCGTTTACTAAAGAAAACACTGGGTTACACTGCACCTATGGGTGTGCCACCTAAAGTGCAGCCTACAGTAGTTACCTTTAACTAAATAAAACACTGGGTTACACTGCACTCATGGGCGTGCCACCTAAAATGCAGCCTATGTTAGTTACCTTGAACTAAAGAAAACACTGGGTTACACTGCACCTATGGGTGTACCACCAAAATGCAGCCAAAGTAAGTTTCCTTTAACTAAAGAAAACAATGGGTTACACTGCACCCATGGTTGTGCCACCAAAAGTGCAACCTATGTTAGTTACCTTTAACTAAATAAGACACTGGTTTACACTGCACCCATGGGTGTGCCACCTAAAGTGCAACCTATGTTAGTTACCGTTTACTAAAGAAAACACTGGGTTACACTGCACCTATGGGTGTGCCACCTAAAGTGCAGTCTACAGTAGTGACCTTGAACTAAATAAAACACTGGGTTACACTGCACCCATGGGTGTGCCACCTAAAATGCAGCCTATGTTAGTTACCTTTACTAAATACAACACTGGGCTACACTACACCCATGGGTGTGCCACCTAAAGTGCAGCCTATGTTAATTACCTTTAACTAAATAAAACACTAGGTTATACTGCACCCATGGGTGTGCCACCTAAAGTGCAGCCTATGTTAGTTACCGTTTACTAAAGAAAACACTGGGTTACACTGCACCCATGGGTGTGCCACCTAAAGTGCAGCCTATGTTAATTACCTTTAACTAAATAAAACACTAGGTTACACTGCACCCATGGGTGTGCCACCTTAAGTGCAGCCTATGTTAGTTACTGTTTACTAAAGAAAACACTGGGTTACACTGCACCTATGGGTGTGCCACCTAACGTGCAGCCTATGTTAGTTACCTTTAACTAAATTAAACACTGGGTTACACTGCACCCATGGGTGTACCACCTAAAGTGCAGCCTATGTTAGTTACCTTGAACTAAATTAAACACTGGGTTACACTGCACCTATGGATCTCTAACTATAGAAAATTCTGTGTTACTCTACACTTTAAGGTGTGTTAACTAACAGAATCAGACATGCTAAAATTAAACAATGGTTCACACTTCAATCCTGAGCTCACATATATTCCTACATGCAGTAGCTTTCAGTTAATGGAGCTCCATTAATTTCAAGCTGCTGTGTGATGGAATTAGTCATAAGATGGGCAAATTACATAGGAGACTGTAGCAATTAAAGAAATACTCACAGAGGTATTTGATTCCTAAAGCGCACTCCGACAGATCGTCTGGACGCTGTATGAACTCAATGAATACACATTACCAATGATCTTGACTACATGATGTTAAATCAAGTTGCAAGTATAAAAATAATAGTTGCTTCTTACTAACATCAACACGAGCCTGGTAAAATGTAACTCTGTTAAGGATCATTGAGTTCAGGATTTGCCGTGTTCACATCTTCATACGGCTTCTTGAATCTATCCAGTGGTATGGCAAGTTCTACAATTTCTTCAAGGTGTTGAAGGATTTCCCGATCTGTTGGACCTGAAACACAACAGCATGAGAGTAAATTAAAAAAGAAAAAAAAAAGATTTTACCTAAGACCTATGGAAAACATCTCTTGAAAAAATTATTTAGGAAATGTCTTACCAAACATTGAACTGACATGGATATTCTGCTTTGTAATAGCAGACTGTTGATCTGACTTCTTCTTTACTGAGATGCGATCGCCATGAAATGACTCTGGGCCATAGTTTTTCAAGGCAGCATTGGCCTCTGCTAGGGAATCTACCCTGTATGCAAGAAGACCAATGGATGCCAACAACTGTTCAGTGTTGCGCATCTCCATATGGAGAGCACAAAGTTGAATGTTGCAAAGCTCTTCGTCCAAAAGAAAAACCAGATCATCTCGTATACCAGTTGATCTACAAGACAATTTCAAAGAATGATTGATTTTCTGAAGCAATGAATTATTTCATGTTTTTCTCTAAAAATGTTTTTCTTTTTCTTTTTCAATTACCAAACTATGAGTACTCCTTTCCTGACAGTATGAAAACAATTTTTGGCAACCTTCCAAGTTTGGCAAAAGATCCTGAATGAGGATTTTAGTTTACTAGCAACAATTTAAAAAAAAAACCCCAAACTATACACTTAATTTCAGTTCATGCTTTAGTACAAGTCATTTCCCCATGGCTTACAAAATTCATTTTGTTATGTAACAGTAAGAAAATCCCCTTTATGTTCGAATGTAATTTAATATGACAATGATCAAATGCCTACACACCTTCCCATGTTGCATTTGCTTCTGAGGCAATCCAGGCATGTCTCATCTGGAGCAACATCATGGCATTTGCAACCCTGACAAAAACAGGCACACTATCAAATAATATATAATATTATAATTTCAGATAGAACTACACATTTATCATGCTTCCGATTATCTTCTTCAGAGTTCATGCAGATTTTTGGATCCAAAATTCAAGACTTTTCCCAGACCTTTTTTCCAAAACATCAATTTATTTTTCCAGACTGAAGATGGTCAAATAGGTGATCAATAGAGATCTTGAAAAATGCAGAAACCAAGCTTCTTTCATGATGCACTGCAAATGTACAATAACCATGGTGCAATTGTGAAACTTCTCATTCTGTGATTGAATGTCTTAGCTACAGGCGAGATTGAATTGACCACAGGGGAAAAAAATGAACTTATTAAGCACTTTTTGTAGCTATAAAAAAAACTCCAGACTTGAACTATTTTTCTAGACATTATCTTCAATTTCAAGACTCTTTCCAGGTCTGGAAAATCAAGACTTTTCCAAGAATTTATGACTCTGTGTGAGCCCTGTTCTTTTTACAGTACATGTATTCATACTTTCAGTGATTTTTAAATGTTTTAAAAGCAGAATGACCTTTAGAGAAGTACTTTACAACTTTTTTTGACTAAATTAAAGCTACTTGATGTTTCTATCACTCACTAATTATTTTCCCAAATATTGGCAAAGATCAAAGTCATCTGAAATCACTGTAAAAAAAGTTGATGAACTGATGCAGCACTTTTATGTACCTCAACTTTAACAGCACAAGTTGCAGTTGCCCCATACTAATTTCTATATCATTTGAGTACTTTACCCTGATAGCATTGCAGATGAAACAGAACTCGACACTGACACCTCTACCACCTAACATGAATGAAGCATTCATCTTCTTCACCAAAAGAAGTACCAAGGTCTTGTAGTCCAGTACAACTAGGTTTGATAACAGAAATGGGAAAGCAAAAGTTAACATGCTAAACTTTCCAGGAAATTAATCTCTAATGTATCTAAAGAAAAGGGTAGTCAAATCAATTTCTGACGTAAAATAGTAATAAATTCCAGGTTTTATTTCTTGCTGCTGCAGTTAAACCTTGAACATGTTTTACAATATAAAAAACTCTTAATTTACTATAGTTTGACTACTGCTTCAATCTAGTTCTAGTCAGACTACCAACTGGGTAGAAACACAATAAATTGCTATAAATAGTATCATGAACAAGAAGTTGACTTTTAAAGCAAACTCCAAGACTAACATTGATTCTTACCCAGAAATTAAACGGTGTAATGTCTACCATCAACTGTCATTCCTTTTTCCTTTAATATTTTCTTCTGGTGGTTGATGTCCTCAAAAAGAATCTTCAGGTCGTCTCTGTCAACAAACAAAAACCAAAAATCTATACAGTCATTATTATATTTAGTGCATTAAAGCCAAATTAGGGATATTGATATCAATCCACTTAGATCTCAGAGTGGATGCATGATCTGGTGATATTGCAACTGAGTGGGGCTTACAAAAATCTGTCATTGTGTTATTTAAGTTAAATGCACATACAACCACAAGCATATTCTAGCCAGAAGGTAGTAAAGAGTTCAAGCAAGTTGAAATTCACAAACCTGTCTTCTTTACAGTTGGCAATTGTCAATGTGTAGACTGATTTTGCACTTTGCTGGCTATATACAGCACCATCACGGGGAACAATTCCAAACAACATATGAGCTCTACCTGCAAAACAATTTTTTACACTAAATTAGTCAAGACAAAAACTGCACCCTTCACCAACCCATTTCACCTTACACATTATTATAATGACCACCTTCCATACAAAGAACTGCTTGCAAAGCCAAAAAAATTAAACAGTTATAGTTATTTTGATTTGGAAGTACAACACACACACACAAAAAAAATATGTGGATGATTATCATACGGCTTCCAGCATATTTCACCAGCTGAAAAAGAGCTTACCACTGGCTGAAATTGCTCTGGAAAACAGACCTAGGGTAATTTTGAAGACGCAGTTGAGTAAAACGCCCGCTTAAGTAATAAAAAAAACCCTGCTTATCTTTTCCTGTACAAGGCTTCGCTTACGAGAATAACTGAATAAAACAAAAGAAAGAGCTGCTATAAACATTGAGGCTCGCGATTGAATAGTTCTTTTTTTGTTCTTTTATTCCCTTAGCCGGGGCGCCAAGTATGAATATTAATATACCGACGTAAGACCAACGTAACTAAACATCTTACCCCCGTCCTAATAGTAGACCTTTTCCCTTTCTCTTTTTGGTTGTTTTTTTTTTTACCAAGACCAATCTGGTTGCTACCCCAACTACCAATAAGCGGTGGTGGTTGATATGGCATTAGCATATTTTTCCCTCTTCCATCCATTGTAGGAACATATACGGGAATCGATCTCCGGGGTCTTGATTGTTCAACATGCAAACCACGACCGGTTAAAGCTTTTAGAACCAGAGGGATTCCGATACTTGCTAGTAGAGTACCAAGGAAACCACCAGATTGTGTTTTAGTTGGCTTCACAACAACACCTGAACCTGATTGGAGGGCTTCAAGAATATCTCTTTTTTGTTTCGCAGATAGAAGATGCTTGTTTGCGATTAGTTTATCAATTTTGTTTTGTGGTATAAGGAAACCTCCAGTTTGTCCTTTTCCAGCTATCTTTTTAACAATTTGGCTTACACCTTCACTAGCTAACCCTGATAAAGCTGATAAACCCAAAGTTTTCCCAATTGTTGGTGCCAATGCGCGACCTAGAGCAAGAGCTGAAGACAACCAACCACCTCCAACTTGTTTTCTGATATTTGTCTTAGACAGCTTTATGTCCATACCTTTATTCTCTTTTCGATTCTTTTCTAATCTCTTCTTTACCATAGCTGGCACATTCAAAGTGTCATTACCACGAAGAGCATCATTTGTGAGTCTGATGATGACTGTTTCTCTTTTTTTGTAAGCATCAGCAATATTCTTCTTCTGGTTATCTGATAGTTTTACATTTATTTGATAAAGTTGAGTCATTTTTCGTATATAATATATGTTATATAATTTTTGATTATAAAACATATTATAAAACATATACAAAATAAGGAATATCTTACATAGACCTCAAGATCAACTTACCATCAGTCTTTCTCATTTCAACATCCTGTTCATAAAGGACAAGTGCATAAACCGAGTAATCTGCATCTGTGGCACCACTTAGTGTATATTTAAAAGTCAGTTTAGTTGAACCATCTTTGATATCTGTTGGCTGCTTTGTTAGATCAAAGTAAACAAATGGAAAAATGTCACTGAAGTTAGCTCTGTTAAGGAGAGTATCCCCAGCATAATCATTGTTGGCATGAAAATAATTAAGAACATCTCGGAATACACGTGTTGGTTCTTCCCTTGGTGTGTAATGAACTTCTGGATATTCTTTTCCATTTCCTACTTGGAGATAGCAATTGTTCATTCTCCGATTATTGGCTACCGCGAAAGTGTTATACAAGAATTTATTTCTTGACTGTTCTTCAACATTTTCATCATTAATTATAAAAACAAAAACATGTCTCGGTTTGTTAATCGCTGTTGAAATACGGAAGCTACCTGCCTGCTCTCGTGTTGAATTACTTCTCTCAACTAATTCACGAAGATATGTCCACTTTCTTGTATCAAGGTATTTGCTCATGTATAATGCCTTTCCATCTGAATTAAAAATAATACGAGGGACTATCAGCTGAAATGTAGTTAAAACAACACGACAATCGTTTGCTGCATCTGCATGCCAGACAAGGTCGGCGTCACTCTCAAGTTCGATTTTTATCTCAATTCGAGAATTCGGAAGGAGTTCACCAAGAAGGCTCCTAAAAAAGCCATACCGATTTAGTGGTATTTCTGCATTCATTCCAAGATCACCAGATAGAAGCGTTTTTCTGACAAGAAAACCTGAATTATCCGCTTCTGCAGCAGTTCTAGTTGTGTCAATAAAAAAAAATTCATTAGTACCCTGACTTTTTGAATAACCCTGAGAATATTCTAGAAGATTTTTAATATTTGTTGCTTGGTTGGCTTCCGAACAGTCATAAACATCAACACCATTCATCTTAACATTCAATTTTTTAATAAGAGCGAAGGAAGAATTGACAATCCCATTATTATCACCAACAGCGATATTAGCCCCCTGATGACCAGCAATTGCCTTCTTTAAAACAAAAGTAACATTGAATCTGGCGTTATACCAATCAAAAGGGGTTGATTCTCCACTATTATCAACAACAAAACGATAATTAGTTTTTATTTGATTGTTTGCATAGTTTGATTGTAATGCTGTTTCAAGTTCAAAAACAACATCTTCATACCTTTCTATTAGTTTTGAGTTTCGATAATCTGTCATATATTATATGATTAGATAAAATTCCTCCTTCTAAGTTTTCCTCCTGAAAGTATCCGGTTTACTCTCTCATATACCTCCTGATCAGTTAATTCTTTTGGTTCTGATAAACTTGGTTGTTCTAACAAATTTGGTTCCATTAAAACTGATGGAGTTGTTGTTTTATTCTTATTTAGAAGCTCAACTATCTTATCACCAGCCTTCTTACCAGCATATTCACTAGTTGCTGTAGCCGCCTTTTTTGCTGCACTTTTTGCTGCACTTTTGACTACTTTCTTTGTAGTTTTTCCAAAGATTTTCCTTCCAATTGACTTGAAAATATCGCTTATACCTTCACCGTATATATGTTTTGTCACATACGCATCCAGATTTGGATCATACATTTTTTTTAATTCACACTGTCTCATACTCATATATTATAAGATTATACTAAATCTCTCTTGATCTCAGGAACAGTTCAATGTACCAATCTATCCCATTCAAATCAATTGGATTGCCAGATGAATCAGTAACATACAACCGCATTGAAGATATCAAATGACCCGATAATTGACTATATGCAAGAAAACGAGGTTTGTAAGTAAATGGAAGAGATCTGATAAGATTTTCAACGGGAATTAAAGCTATTGTACTTGAAGATTCACCATCAGTAATACTTTCTGTTACCTTATCACAGTTAATATTTATTTCATCTACTCCTCTTGTGATGTTTGGAAGATTTGTTCCATACTCTGTTTGTGTAATTTTTTTTTAATTAAAGCCAATCAGTTTTCTGAAATTTGAGTTTCTGAGATCTATTTGATAATCATCCTCTAATTCAATAAGTACTCGATAAGTAGATAAAACAAAATACAGATTGATTCCATACTTTTCTTCTTCATCAACTTTAATAATATGTCCTTTGCTTTTCATGTAATCTTTGATATACTTATCAATATCATCATAACTGTACATCCCATCAACAAATGTGATTGTTTCCCAACTTGTACCTTTATCATGACTGTATTTTATTTGATTGTTTCCATATGATTGTTTGATGTTATACCAACTGTAAGTCATAGATATTGTTCTAACAGCAAGTTCATGCTTCATGTCATAAGACAGTTTAATAGGCTCCTTAAATTTAGTAGTAAAATCATGACTCAAACTTACACCCACTTTTTGTCTATTTTTGATGCAAATCTTAATATTAATTCACTCATATATTATTAGATTAGATATTCTTTCAAGAGGTCATTCATTTGTTTGTTATGAATGACATTCAATTTGTTCAACAAATGTACTATATTCGTAAACTCTTCTCTAACATCACTACTGTCGTTTCCAGCAGACATAGACCCTCCAAGCAGCTCCAACCGTGAAAGTAAATCTTGTGGATTATTATAGTAGACTACACCGCTTCCAAGTTTCGAATACTTTTTGGAAGTTCTGTGGATTGGTATTTCACTTAATCTATTAAGGTCATTGAACACGGATCTTGCTAGTTCAGAGTATTTCTTTTTGCTGTTGAATCGTTTTGTTAAAAGATCAAGTGTGTCAAAGTCAGCCTGTTTATCATACACTTTTTGACCGTTTTTATGAGCCACAACGTTCAGATGTCCATACAGTTTTGGAAGATCAATGACTAGACCACCATACTGTCCTCTTTGTGATATCTTATAGGCGTTTCGTTTTGGTTGTGTGTAAATGCCAGAGGCTTTTTGTGTTATGCCCAATTTCCTGGCTTTTACTAATTTCAAATAGTCGCTTAGTGCTTTTGATTCTTTTTTTGCAAGGTTCTTTATTATTGCATTTTTGGAATTCTGTTTGCCTGTTGTACTGGATATTAATTTTTTAAATTCATTTTCTGATGGAATATTTTGCAATGTTGGATCGAAACCATATTTTTTTATGATTTCTGTTGCACCGGGATCTAGCAAAGATTTAGGTTTTTCTACTTCTTCTACTCCTTCTTCATCACTATCTTCTTCTTCAATTATATCCATCGGAGTAACTTCAGATGGTAGATCAGATAACCAAGATTTAACCCCAGATACAGATCCTTGTTGGGACATAATGTCACTCATTGTTTCACTCATATTTGAAATTGAATTGTTGAACTCAATTTGATTCTCTTGCAATTGTCTAATAACTTCATCCTGTTTTCTGTCAACGGTTTCTTTGTTTTCTTGTAATTTTTTTATTAACTTGTTCTGTTTTTCATCAATTGTTTCCTTAACTTTTTTTTTAATTTCAATAGAAGGTTTCAATATTTCTGCTGTATCATCATACATATCCTGTTTTTGTGTTTTATAAGACTTGATGACTTCACGGACTTCTTTTACCTTATTTCCAGCTTCAATTCCACTGGAAAGAAGCTTTTTCATACGTTCAATATCCATATACTATTATGTTAGATAAAATAACTTATCTCAACTTATCTCAACTTATCTCAACTTATCTCGAATTATCTAACATACTCATATATATGGATATACCGAATTATGACAGTGGTGATAAATTAGATAATGGTTTCACACAATTACATAAATTCATGCCAAAAAACACATTTAGGATGCGTATAGCGGGTAACTCTGGATCAGGTAAAACGAATCTATTGAGTCATATTTTACAATCTCCATTGGTCTATTATGATCAGATCCATTTGTATGCTAAAAATCTGGATCAAGATAAGTATATAAATTTAATTGATAAGATGAATGGAATAAGTGAACATGTTGGTTACCCAGTTTTAATAGCAAGCAATGATGAAATCATACCTGTCGACCAGCTGGATAATGATATGCAGAGAGTCGTCATATTTGATGATTATGTGTGTGAAAAAGTACAGAAACCCTTGATAGACTATTTCATCCAAGGACGACACAAAAACTGCTCTGTGATATATCTTACACAATCTTTTTATGGATGCCCCAAAGCGATCAGATTCAATTGTAGTCATTTTTGTCTGTATGATTTTCCATCTTCAAGAGAAAGAAATTTAATATCTCAAGAATTGGGAATTAACAAAGAAATGTATATTAAAGCGACCAATAAACCATATTCTTTCTGCTATGTAGACAAACCAATGAAAACAGTGAAGAGAAACTTTTATGGAAATATCTAAACTATTAGTATATGGGTATCTTAAACAACTATGAAAAGTATACCGAGAATGATTGTAATGTAAAAGGACAAGCCGGCAGAGATGGTATTGGATTCAAATTAACAGATGATGGTAATTATGATATTGATGGAAAACGATTGACTAATGTAGCTGACTCAATTGATGATAGTGATGCGGTCAGTTTAAAAGTATTAAAGGAACATACTCAAGTCAGTCAAAATAATTATCATTTACAATCGAGTTTTAAAATATATAAAGAGTTTGGTGACAAGAGTCAATTAACTGTAGGATCACCACCAAATACATCGCCAAACCATTTTTTTCAAAATCATAAAGCACATAATGATGCTTATATAATTGAGAAAGAAGGTTATGACACCGGTTTTTATGGGGAAGCATGGTCTAGTATAAAAATGAAAGGTAATCAATTAGAGAGCGGAACTTACACAGCCATTTTTGAAATATTTGTCATTGGTGATGCTGGTGGTTGATGATACAATAATTTATCAAGTCCATGGTGACAGTCATTATACGATCATCACATTCGACAGTGACAAAATCAATAGTCAATATACTAAATCAATTATTCAATTCACAACTGATGGAAGAGCTGGAGTAAATGATGGGATAAAATTACAATTAAAATATTTTGGTAGTCAGTACAATAAAAATATAAGATTTCTCTTTTATTCAAGGGTTGTTAAGGGTAAACAGTCGACAAGTTTCAACCATATTATTTTTAATGTCAGTGACGTTGTTGATAATCATACGATTCTCTATTTTGAGAATTTAAATCTCAATGGTAATCTTATTGATGGTTTAGGTGATCCTGTCTATCTGGATAGTGCTACTAATAAAAAATATGTCGACGTTGCTATTGCTGATAAAGAAAGTAAATCCAATGTTCAAAATTATATAAATAATCTTAATTTACTTATTAGACACAATCTTCCTATGGATGGAAGAAGATCAATGACTGGAAATCTTAATATGGGAGGAAATGAAATAGTTAATATAAAACCATTTGTTGAAGATGATGATATCCAACCTCAACAAGACAATCATGCAATTACATTTGGTTATTTTCACACTGAGAGAGGAGAATTAAAACGATTAATAAATGAAGTAGGTTATAATGCTTTAAACAGAAAGAATCCAGATCAAATGGAAGATGATATTGATATGGAAGATAATCGAATATTAAATTTAAATGAGCCAACTGATGATAAAGATGTAGCTAATAAACAATATGTTGATACTAGAATATCAAATATTAATCTAACACAACTACTTCCAAGAGATGGTAGCAGGGCAATGACAAATAATTTAGATATGGGTGATAATCGAATAGAAAATTTAAAAGATCCAATTTTTCTTCAAGACGTTGTAAATAAAAGATATCTTGATACTATAATATCAAATATTGATCCAACACACCTACTTCCAAGAGATGGTAGCAGGGCAATGACAAATAATTTAGACATGGATAATCATAAAATATTAAATTTAAAAGATCCAACTGATGATAAAGATGTAGCTAATAAAAAAATATATTGATAAATTAATAGATGAAACAGTTCAACAAACAGTAGAAGAAAACGTATTTAAAAGAGTAATGGAGTATGATGAGTTTAAAGAAGATGATAATGATATTCATAAAATTGGAGTTAAAAATAAATACTTTCATACTATAAATAAAAAAACATATAAATTTGAGATTGATTATGATCCTAATGAAGGTGATGGTGAATATAGTTCAAGATTATCAATTGATTTAGTTTTTTTACCTTATGGTAATTATACTATGGTTTTTGAAATGTATTTTGATGATGGTCTTAATGTTGAACAACTAAATGCAACTGCTGCTACTTTAATTATAAATAAACAAATTTTAACCACAAATAAAACTAACATAAAAAATATAATCCAATTTACAAAATCAATTAAAACCAATCCACAGCTCAAATGAAAGAGAAAAAAGTGATAAAACGTATTTTCCTGCAATCTGAAAAAGAAATCTTCTTGCAATGATGCATACTTAATCTATTATAATAAAAAAGAATGGTACTCTTGGAGAATTTATTTATTTCACGACACAGCTATAGCTATATCAAAACACTGCTGTTGTTTTCGGAGCCTCTTTTTGTATTACAGTTACAAGTTAATAAGTGATAAAGTGTGAGACGGACAGTTTTTGGAGTTTATGAAAACTCAAAGTCAGAGCCGCAATCAGAATCTTCGGCATCCAAATCTGGCAGCTCCAAGGCTTTGGAGATTTCCTCTACCTCTTCCTCAACAGAATAGAATAACTGGGCGTGTTGCTTATTCTCCTGAGGTATTTACCGTAGAAGAAAAGAAGTAGTGTAACACGTTATTGTTTTTAGAGTTTTGTTATTAAAGAAATAACATAGATATGTATTATCCACGAGTAGCAACATTTTTAGCTCATTCATGCTGAAAGTAATGAATGAGGTATCGTGGTGAAGCAGATGTTGACGAAAGTTGTATTCCGTGGACGGAAGTTGTCTTGTGGACCGTGAACGGAAGTAGTCTCACATGCTACCCCTCCCCACCTAGTAAAAGTCAAATTAATTTCGATGAAGCTCAGAGACTCGCGCGGAAAGAAATAAAATGTTTGTATGGTTTAATAAATCGAGAAGCTGAAATGTTCACACCTGGGGGACCTGTATCGAATTCATTTCAACACACGCTGTAACCACGCAGAAGGGTATCAGAGGCAACCATATTGTTAAGCCGTGCATTTGCGTTCGTCCTCAGTTGGTATAAAGTAATCATTGCTCTGTCATTGTGCTTGTCCCCAGGTGCTCTTCAACATACAGTCCACACATCAATCATAGCGGCCAAGATAGTCTCACTAAAATTTCTTTTCGAGCCCCAATATTTCGGTCCGGACTTGAGGCTCGCTCGAACAAAAACAGCAATACCATTCTGGTCAGCAAAGAATGCAGACTGCAGACCGGGTAAAAATGCCGACTTGTTACAAGATGCAGACTGCAGACCGCAGACCGGGTACAAAATTGCAGACTGAGAATTTGTACTGTTTTTTCGTCTGATACGTGATAACATGGCATCTTACTGAACTTACCGAGCGTCACGAAATCGCTTTCCCGCGATCATCTTTCACGATTATTTGCACTATTGTGGAATACTCCTTAGCTGTTTCTTGATCACAATCGTTTTTAATATAATTTGAAGCCTTCATTTAGTATTCTTATTTTTCGCGCGAGTTTGTTGGTGGGATGTCTGTACAGAATTTACCAACTTAATAAAAGTAGATGCAGATGTAGATGTAAATGGAATGCCACTATCGAATATTTAACCTGCGCAACATTCGAGAAATTCATCTTTTTAACCGATATGTGTTCGTTTTGTTGACAAAAATGCGAATCGAGACCAAAAATATTCCTTCGACTTGATATATTTTCAACGTTCAGAGGTGTACACAGAGAGGTGTCTTCTATTGTTATTGGTTTACACGAGAAACCGGACAATTTTTATAGGGAAAAGCCAAGCGTTGCACTCGCGACTGGCCATTGCCACTTTTTTGGTGGTTTCATTTCTCGTCGGTTTGGTGACTACGCAAATATTAATATGTGAAAATCAGATTATATGAAGACTTGAAATTCTACTAGGAACGATTATAGTCGCTTTGTTAAAAATCAAATGCAATGGCCGCTTTGTTTAGAACAAAAGATATCAAGAAACGGGCAAGGAATATTTAACAGATAATTACTGCGGCAGTCAGCGTTATGAGATACATTGCAGCCAGCTGAGGGCGTAGTCTGCCTAATGACCTCTGGCCATCCCACCTCCAGCCCACACAAACTTTTACATAAACCGAATTCAACTGTACCTCTATTCAGCAAGTCCAAGAAATCAATGCAAACCTAAGTCATAACATGAATGAGCTGGCTCCAAGAGCCCTTTGATTTTCATTATTTCCAAGTTTTGAACGTCTCTATTAAACCAACACAAGAAAAAATTTATAGGCAATGTTTTTTATTTCTGCAGCGATCTGCAGAGCCATTCAATGAAATTTGACCACTGAAAGCTTCCTAAACGGGAGGTTTGTGGGGGAGGGGAGATGGACAATAGGGGGGAGGGGGAATGGACAATAGGGAGGAGGTGGGGACACAATAGGGGCGAGGTAAACAAAGTTGTTGTGGATAACTCTAAAATGGTAATGTACTGCCAGCGGACAGCAAAAACGTGTGAAGGAAACGAAAATTGTAAAAAATCTTAATTTTTCCCAAACAAAGCCTTAATAGTGGCATTGGGAAGGACAGGAAATTGACTGCTGCTAAAGCAACGCTGCTATGCTCCCCCACTTCCCGTACAACCCCTCCCCTCCCACCCCCCATCCACTCCCGACCATACAAGAGCCATGATCCCTCCGTTAATTACGTGACCACACGGGCTGGAATGGGAGAAAAACTTGAAAACTCCATCAGTAAGTTTAGTAAGTGCTTGGCGAAAGAAACAGAAAGGTAGTATTTTCCCCCTTTCCCCTCCCATCTCATTCGTTTTCGCTGTCAAAACCCATTTCCAGTCTCCCCTGGAAGTGGCTTCTGATGTTTGACACCAACATATCCTTCTGGGAAGAGAAATAAAAGGAGCAGAAAATTTCTGAAGAAAAAAGGTAGTATCACTCGTATGCCAATGTCAAATGCATTGCGCTGAACCGAGAACCCTGTTGACCTTTCCATATTTTGAAAGTCGTTTAAAGCCACGCACCTTACAATCAAATTACAATCAAGCCGTTTTCAGTAACCTGTGTAACGTTTTCAAAACTTTGTTTTCAGAAGTGTATTACGCCATTATTTTTAGACTTTTGTTACCGAAGCAATTCCATTGACATGCGATATTAAGGAAACAGGATGGAACAATTTTGCATGGATACTAAGGATTTGGTCGAGATTATACTGAAATACCTGTGATGAAAGATGGAGGAAACAAGTTACATAGGTTAAGTAAGAGAATAGTGTACTAAGATTGGGATCTTGGAAGGGTTTGAAATGCTGTCGGCTAGTGTTACAGCTTGCATACTTAGCCAACTTAACTCCCATGTTAGTCTAACACTACATTGAATCACCCTTTTCAGGAATATTTCTATGCTCTTTGGTCTCGTTCCTCTGGCTATTGGCATCTTGGATGACTCAGAAAATATAACCATGCAGCCAGGGAGACAACTTAAAAATAACGTTAAGTAGGCTTGAATTCACTTAATAATTTATGAAGAACTTTTGAGCATCTCGGTCTAGTGTTACACTACCCTCCGCGGGAACTTAATTTCGCGAAAATGGAGCGTATGTATGAAAGGTATGTATTTTGCAGGAATTTGATTTCACGGTTTGGCCAAAAATTTGAATTAAAAGGAACTAAATTTCGTGATAATTGTATCATCAATTGAGTTGATAGCGTAAATTGGCCATCATAAAGAGTTTCAAAGCTGACGTTTCGAGAGTCAGCCTCAGAGCTTCATCTAGTCGCTCTGACGTAGGGCTAACGCTCGAAACGAGAGCTTTAAAACTCTTTACGATGGCCAATTTACATTATTAACTCAGTTGATAATTCAATATTAGCCGAACATACTAGCGGTTTGGTCCTCAATTAAAACGAATGGTAAGACCACAGGAATTATGCATGAATATGTCGCCCTTATGCACATTGTTCCACCATCGGTCTCATTTACAAAGCCAAAGAAGCTAATAAGAGTTGGCATCAGATTTATCGAATGGTTGACAACCAGCTGAACACAGAAACCAAAACGGCTGAGGGGCCTCTCGTCTCAATAAACCAACTCAAGCTCGCCTGGAACGCTTCATGCGTGACCTTGCTTCTTTTGCGGATGTAAACCGTCATATTCAAGGAACTCTAACACCTTATCTAGAAATATTATCAAATATTTCAGTTATGAATGATTGAGGTAGAAACTTAAAAGCTATGCATAAACGTCGTTGTTGAGCTGACCTTGATTTGTTCGTGTCACGTTATCGAGTGGGAACTAATTTACGGCTTTCACCTTAAGAGTAATGAAGCGGATTCCCTCTGTATGCAGTATTTTTAGTTGAAATTTACGTGTGGGAAGTGGAAAAAAATAATTATCATTATCTCACTTCATTTAATTAACCTCAAAGATGTTCATACGAGGTAACCAAAGCACTAGTAAGAATATTAATATTGTTTTTAAAGTATTT